ACATATATACATATACGTATAGAGGATTCAAATCATTACATGATGGGAATTGAAAACATTTAGTAAATTTATTTTATTGTGACCCTAATTGGTGTATTGCATGTTATCATCATGCTGTTTTCAAAGTTTTAATAAAACAGCTACAACTTTTTTTTTAATCTCTACTGATGAGATGATGTTGGTGTAAAAAGGCAGCGGGCGACACGCATCTCTTCAGGACTGCTGGGCCTTTAATTAAAATCACTTTCTTCGTGACAAATGACCAAACCGAACATTAAAGAACTTAGTAGAACATGAACCAACACTTTAGAAGCTTTTTAAATGCAGCAAACACACGAAACTACACAAGAACTGTGAAAAAGCTGCACAATAAACTTCAATTTAGAAATACGCAACACTGACGTTTGGAAAAACGTCGACGAGCGCGAGCACGATACCTCGAGACAAAAGTGTAAAAAGAATCGGTTAAAGCTAGCGTGTGAAAGACTACAACACTGAGCAAAAGAGCAGATTAAACCTTAAACCCGGGATAAAACTACGGACTTGAACTTGTGTCCGTGCAGGGTCCGCTGCTGGACTGACATGTGAAAGAAGTTGAAGAAAGAAAAAACTTACCCCGTCTTTGTACTTTTGTCTCCGAGGCCTCAACAAAGTGTGGAAGAGTCCGAGCAGCGTGAGCTGCAGGTTTCATGTGTTTTAATCTCCTGCTAAAACCTCTGGCTCTGACTTTCACCTCCTCCGTCCTCCTCTCCTGCTCGGAGCTCAGCCATTTTCCAGCTCAGCAGAGGAGCAGACTCCCTGCGTGGAAACTTCAGATCAAGGAGGCGGAAACGCACGAACGGTGACGGAAAAGCCCGAACGGCTGATGAGGGGCGCTCACCCACTGGAAACCTGACCCTGCGGGTCTTTATTAACTGGAGGAGAGCTGGTAAATCTGGTTCACTTTATGGAGTCGGATGATCTGAATCACTCACGTCACCGTTCCGGTTCACTTGAGTCAGTCATGCTGCACCATCTACAAAAAACAAACAAACTATGATTATAGAGTTACATCATTTAGATATACTTTTCTACACACCAATAAACAAACAACTTCTAAAAGATAGAGCTAAATCATAAGATGTGCAAATCAAATATAAGTGAACCAAAATATTAATATGTAACTGTAAACGTATGATAACTGTATATTTTGTACATGTACAACTCACCTGAGTCCACTCTTTTTGTCCCAAAGAGGGGAATATGAATTAATGTTCATCCATCCTGGGAAAACATGTGAAGTACTGACTTCCATTTTGCTGTGTTGCTACATCTAGACACAAAAAGGTCCCTACCAAAAATGAATGTGTGCGTTCGTTGCGTTAGTGTGTGTGTGTGTGTGTGTGTGTGTGTGTGTGTGTGTGTGTGTGT